AGCAGCCATGTAAAAAAAAAAATAAAGAAAGAAAGAAAACTCTGTTTCTTGAAGATAATTCCAAATATTCCATCAAAACATGTAGGACAGCTGAAAGAAGTGCTGTTACTTTTCTTATCTTCACACCTAAATTCATCCCTGTCTTTTTTTTGGTTGGTGTCACAAACAGCCACATGCAGCTGTGGAGCCACAGGCTGCAGACCTCTGGGTTAAACAAACCCGGCCGTTTGCTGCGCCGCCTTGCAGTTGAACTGCAGCCTACTTGGAAACATGGAAGCTTAGTAGAAGTTAATGGAGGCCAAAACCACCAAAGGATAAGATCCAAAGAGTGATGGTTTCAGACATGCATAAGGACAGATTTATAAGCTGTTTTCATGGGCAGAAGAAAACAAGGTTAGCTGCTGTATCTGAAGGGTGGATTGTAGTGGGAGACTAATGGATACAAAGCACCGCTAGAAGTCAGGGAGACGGGTGGAAACTAAACGCAAACAGCAAAGGATAAACCAGCAGGGTCTTCTAAGGTCTAAGAAACACATTTAACCCGGACATGGCTGACGTGCATGGGAGTATTCTGCAGAGTAGCCAGCCAAGACCTTCAAAGATGTCTCTGAGGGGAAGGCGGTGTTCCACCTTCAGCAAAACTGCCAACAGACGATCATGAGAAGCTTGATATAAATCATGAAGAATAATAGAAAAAAAACGTCTGCATAATAATATACAAATCCCCTTAGAAATGAGCAGGCAGACGCTTTGAATCCTCCAAACATCTGATGCTCTTTGGAGGCTCAGTGCTTCCCCTATCAGCAGGAAACATATTTCAAATTGTTTAACGGGTCACGAGATACAGGACTAATACAGAGAACTTCTCTTTTTTAAGAATATCTTCTAAAAACACAGTATTTTTCAGAGATATTCATGGTTCAGTGTTTTTTTTTTTTCTTCCTGCCCTAAAACAATGTTGACATTGCCTAGTTTCTATAAGATATTTTCTCACTTACCTTTTTTCTATTTTTCTTTTAATCAGACTTCAAGACTTAAGGTTCAAGCAAAGTATAATATAGAGAAAGGCTGGATAATTAAACAAATTAGTTTTTTTTATTTTGA